CTGAGTTCACATTTTGACTCCACCATTTATTGGCTGAGTATCCTTAGATCAGTTATTTTCTGAATGGGGAAAAAGCATTCAGAAATATTTTCAAAAGCATTCAGAATACTCTATATTTTGATAGAGTAGTGGGAAAGAAGGCAAGGTATATACCCTAAACCATGGAGGCCTCTAATGACAGGAAAAAGAGCTCAGAAATGACCCTCCGTGGTTATTGGTCCATGTTATTGAGATGGGGAATAACTTCATAAGTGCAGTGTTTGGGAGCAGTCAATCTGGTTTTAGTGGATAGTACGCCTTAGAACAGAAAAAAAAAACAAAAGGAGGACTGGTTAGGATATTAGTACAGTCATCCAGGATACAATGAGGGCATGGAAATTAAGAACTATACACCCAAAATTGGAAGGAGGGAAATATGAGACTTCATTACCTTCTGGAACTCCTTCTCAGTCTCCTTTACTGTTCCTCCTACGTCATACTCACTGATATATCATCAGCACTTGGAACAGGACCTACCCAAGAAACATGCATAAGACATCAGTTCTTATTGTCTTTCAATAGATTCTGGAGAAAGCTGGGGACCTGGCCAAACATTTCTAATTCACAAAATGAGGGCTTCTCACAATTCTCAGGAACATCTGCTCACAATCTCCATGACTCTCCTGTACCCTGTGTGGAACCTCTCAACAAATTGTTAAGTTCTATATAAATGTTAATGATCATCATTGTCAGCCTAAATTATTTCACAGACATCCCGCTTTTCTAGTAAGTTGGAAGGAAACTGAAATCAATAGACTAGTAGTCGTGAGAAGGAACTTGAAAAATTCTGCTGGTCTGTAGAGGGACAGCTCAGCAGAAAAGGCCACAGTTCCCATTCACAGAACCTCATAGAAGGGCAGAAGAGGGGATTAGCCAAGATTTAAGCCACTCCCTCAAGTATGCCATTAGGAAGTAAACACAACACTCATCCGTGGGAGGAGAAATAATGCATATTGGAAACCAGCTTTTGCCCAGAAAAAGGTGAAAACACTTGGGAAATTTGAGCCCCCGCTGCCCCAGTTTTAAATACTTGTGAGTCATCCCTCAGGGTTGATAAGATCTTTGATAAAGCTGTGAACCTATTATGCCTCAGGCCCACAGCTCCCCAACACTTCTGGGGCCCAGGAAGAGAAGGAGTACCAGGAGGTAGTCTCTTAAAGGCCAGCCTTTTTGAGGGAAGGACCTCGGGTATGTGTGTCATGGGAACAGCTGGTTTTCTTGTCCCGGTGTCAGCTCAGAACAGGGTTATGTGATTGCTGATTCCTGTTCCAGTCTGTCCCCAAGAAACAATGACTTCCTTCATTTGTTTGTAGATCCCTGCAGGCATTTGAGGGAATCATAAAGGCTGATTGTGAATTTAAAATGTTTCTAAATAGGTTACATAAGTACATTGTCTTGAATATTACAATTAGGACTTAAAATCTCTACTGCCTGGTGATCACATAGCTTGTCCTCAAATTGACCTTATAAGGTGTACACAAATGGTGGATTTTCACATGGAAGTTATGGCACTCTTTGTGAAACAACATAAGATGTTAATTTATTTAATCCCATTATATGAACTAATCTCTTAGTGGCAGGAAGTATGGCTATATTATATATGTTCTGGGCTCCACGTAACAAAAATTATCCAATTATAGAAAATAATTTTGAATGAATTGGGAGATTGGGATTGACATATATACACTAATATGTATAAAATAGATAACTAATGAGAACCTGCTGTACAGCACAGGGAACTCCACTTTGCTGTACAGTAGAAACTAACACAACACTGTAAAACAATGCTACCCCAATTAAAAGAAAAAGAAAATAATTTTAAGAAATCACTTTTCCAGGGCTTCCCTGGTGGCGCAGTGGTTGAGAGTCTGCCTGCCGATGCAGGGGACGCGGGTTCATGCCCCGGTCCGGGAGGATCCCACATGCCGTGGAGCGGCTGGGCCCGTGAGCCATGGCTGCTGAGCCTGCGCGTCCAGAGCCTGTGCTCCGCAACGGGAGAGGCCACAACAGTGAGAGGCCCGCATACCTCAAAAAAAAAAAAAAGAAATCACTTTTCCAGTTTTTTCCGTTATGGTAGTCATTTGTTTTGTCATCTGCTAGCACATGTTAGCAGAAAAGTGAGAACAGGTGCCAGAAGTTTAAGAACAGGTGTTAAAAAAACAACTTTAAATTGAGCACATACTAACAGTTAACATAATCTTATTTAAGCTACAAAACACTTCAGTCCAATTGGGCAGGATGTAGTTGTTTCAAAGGATAATTTTAGAACCACTGATGCATTTTAAATGTTAATTTAAACACATTGGTTGTTTTTTTTTTTTTTCGCGGTACGTGGGCCTCTCACCATTGTGGCCTCTCCCACTGCGGAGCACAGGCTCCGGACGCGCAGGCTCAGCGGCCATGGCTCACGGGCCCAGCTGCTCCGCGGCATGTGGGATCTTCCCGGACCGGGGCACGAACCCGTGTCTCCTGCATCGGCAGACGGACTCTCGACCACTGCGCCACCAGGGAAGCCCCTGTAGTTTATTTTTTAAAAAGGTTTTAGTGTCTGAGTTTAATACCATCTATTACATCAACTATGGATTTTTATTCAGTCTTACTTCAGTTCCTCAGGCACTTATTGGCTGCCTGTTATATGGAGAGAACCCTGTCTCAGTGTATGAGCCTTTGTCCTGAAGAAGCTTATGATCTGAGGAGGAAACGTGGTCCAGTAGAGGACACACACATTGCAAGATACGAGAAGCGGCAAATTGTGATCAATGCTCTAATGGAGTTATCAAGGGCTTAGAAACACAGGCAAGGAGAGGTTGATTCAGATACAAAATGGGGCAAATCTGGGAGAGCTTTCTTGAGGAGCTGGCACCTGAGCTGGAACTCAAAGGGTCAGTGGAGACAGAGTAGGAGAAGGAAGCAGTGTGAGTGAGGACTTGGAGAGTGGACGTGGAGGAAGTTGAGGAGCTGCAGGTAACCTGGTGCACCTGGAGTCCAGAATGATTAGAGGATGCAGCAGGCACACAGTCAGAAAGATGGGGAAGAGCTACATTTTACAGTCTTGATAATAGCGAACTAAGGAGCCTAGATTTGATTTTGTGCACACTAGGGAGCCTTGGCGGGTGTTTGAGCAGGGCAGTGGCCTGATCAGATCAGTTTGGGAGTAAGTTGAGAGATGGGTTGAAGGTAGAGAGGAAATTAGAGACCATTCTTGAGTGATATGGATACCATCTTTCCCATTATTAAAAATCCCACTAAGTAGCTATCTTGTGATTTGAGGTATTTGATACAGAAATTCATTTGTTTAAATGTTAATGGTTAATTATGCCTCTGGCAAACTGACTACTCCTCTTATCTGATATTTTTAGCAATGGCCAAGCAAAAGTTTATAAAGGGTAGTAATGATAAGGCATGAACTTCCTTTTTTTTTTTTTTTTAAGAAAAAAATCTGAGTCAGTACCCTAGATATTCTCCTAATTTAAAGAGATGTTCTCTTAGCCAAGGAAAAGAACCACCCAGATTGACATTTTAGAAACAGATCCAGGAAATGCATCTATCAGCAAATGAAAACAAATCAAGGTGAAGCAGGACTGTTAGGTAAGACTCAGTCGTTCGGTTAGGACCGAACCCTGTTACCTGGGTTCACAATCCAGCTCTGCCACTTACAGGCTGTGTAACTTTAGGCTTAGTACTTAACCAATCTGTGCCTCAGTTCTTTCACTTGTAAAATAGGGATAATAATGGTACTTGTCTCAGGGGTTGTTAAGAGGATTAAATGAACTAATACATGTAAAGTGCTCCGAATAGTACCTGGCTCGTAGTTAGAGCTCAATAAATGTTAACTATTATTCAGTGGTTGGGCAGTCAGTTAACTAACTGCCTATGACACATCATAGTTTACACAGCGTTTTCACACATCCACCAAGTCATTTGAGCTCCACAATTACCTTATGGATATTGGTTGTCCTAGTTACCACTGCTGCTAACAAGCCACCCCAAAACTTGGAAGCATAAAACAACAATCATTTTATTATGCTCACAGATTCCTGAGTCAGGAATTCAGACAAGGTACAGTGGGAGTTGCTTATCTCTGCTTCTCTGTGACTGTGCCCCCAGCTGGAGACATCTTGGATGGCTGGGGAGGACACCAGCAGTGGGGCTGGATCCACTGCCAAGATGGCTTCTTCTCTAACCTGTCTGGCGCTTTGGTGGGATGGCGGAAAGGCCAGGCTCAGCTGGGACTGTCACCTTAGCACCTGCATGTGACCTCTGCACCATGGTGGCCTCACGATAGTTGTCGGACTTCTTAGAGTGTTTCTACAGCAGAAGATACATGCCTTTTATGACGCAGCCTCAGAAGCCTCATAGCCGACACTTCCCTGTTCTCTATTGGTTGAAGCAGTCACAAGCCTGCCCAGACTCAAGGGAAGGGATTAGACCACACCTCTCAGTAGAAGGCATATCAAAGAATTTGGGGGCCGTGTTTGAAAATCACCATACTGGTATTATCCCCTAATTCTAGATGAGAAGATTGAGGCTCAGTACAGGTTTAATGATTTATCCAGGATCAGTTGCACAGATAGTCACTGGGATAGTAGGGGGTGGGGGCAGGGAAGTTTGCTGGAGGAAAAAGGCTTCTAACCTAATTCTTCTGACGCCAAATTCTTGTTCTCTCAATTAGATTATTCATTGTCCTTCAGCTTAGATATACTTGCTAACATAGGAAAGTTACAGAAAAAAACATTTAAAATACATTGTGTATATTAGGTAACTTTCTTAAGAAGAGACGGTGATGTAAAAGTATAAAGTTTGCATTTATAAGAACTTGTACACAAACTTCATATTTTAAAGAGGTCCTGGGATGGGTTGAGTCCCAAGACTGGTCAGAGGTAAACTTAGTATAATTTTCTCACAAGGAAAGTTCTCTGAAAATGTTCCAGATGCTTAACTGTGACTTCCTTCGTCTCTAGGAAAGTCTCACCTGGCCATTGTCCAGCGGGTGAATAATGAGGGAGAAGGGGACCCCTTCTATGAGGTGATGGGCATTGTCACACTGGAGGACATCATAGAGGAGATCATCAAGTCGGAGATCCTGGATGAAACTGACCTCTACAGTAAGTGCACAGCCTTGGCTCTTGTCCAAGGCCATCATATTTTTCTCTGAGATTCTCAGAGCTGGCTTAGTTTGGTGAACAGTGTAAAACGGGGTCAGGACAAGCCCCAGGCATTGCTGTGTGTCAGCCCCCTCCTGCCAGGAGCCGGCACGGCAAGATGCCCTGACTTGAACCATCCCTGAGTCACTGAGCGTGTGCTAGCTAAATGTTTATCCAGAGGGAACCTTCAGGAACACAGCCAAGACTATGAAAAGGAGACCTCCTGGCCTTTGGATGGAAAAGGAACCAAAGGAAATAAAGTGCACCTCGGATGACCCCTCTGCCCTTGTTTCTGTCCCCTGTGCTGTTCCTGGTTTGTCTCTTCGTCCACCTAGACACAGACCCCAGCACCCCCTGGGGTTCCACTCAGGATCCGCTCATTCAAAACATCCGTGAGCCGTAGAGGCTCACGAGACTGCCCACCACAACCTAAGCTAAACCTGAAGTCGCCCTTTTAGTCGCTCTTGTCCCTTGTGCGTTTTCAGCCCTGCCGCCTGGTTTCTCCCTCTCCCCCCGTCCCACCCCTGGCTCTGGTCCCTGCTCCCTCCTTTCTGGCCTCCTCGCCCCCCTCCCCACTCCCCCTCAGGAACAACACGGACTCCTTCTTGCAGGTAGTGACTGCTTTCGGTTACTGAGCCTTATCACAGCTTTGCTTGCAAACATTACAAAGGCCTGCTTTCCTCAGGGATGGGAGTGTTATCTAAATCCATGGGAGTCCCTAGGCCAGGAAGTGTTTCCTCCTCCCGAATGAATTTCATCACCTGGGACAGCAGTCCCTTTTCCTCCCCTCAGATAACCCATTCCGGACCCCTATCCTTAGTTTGCTAGAGGCAGCTGTTCAGAGACTAGCTCCCTGTAGAAAAGGTTTTGAGACTCTAAGGCAGTGAGTGGTACAGAGAGAGTGCTTCACTTTGGGGTGAGACCTAAAAGGTGGGTCAGGCCTTAACGAAACATAGCAGGAGTGTCCCAGTGTCTGCTATTGCTGTGGAGCCCTGGGGGGGCTCATCTTCTTGAGTTAGGGGTTAATTTCTCCCTCCCCCATTCCTTTCTCCCTTCTCCACCTCTGCCCATGGCTCATGATTTAGAATTCCGATACAGTGGTGAAAACATTCACACTAAAGTGTTAGTGGCTGATAGTAGTGACAGGGGTCTAAATGAGTAAGCTCTTCTGAGGGCCTTTGTTTGAACGACCTAATACTCGAATGCACACTAATAAAATTGAAGGAATGAAGAGGGAGATCAGAAGACTGATTCTCCAATGATGAACTGTTCGGTGGCATTCTGATGGAGGAGGGAGAGGGGATATTTAGACAAACGTGTCATGCAAATCGGAACGTTAGTCACACAAAAGGACTGGTCTGATACATATATTTGCTGCTGTCTTGCCTAACCGTCCTCTCTCTAAAGGAGAGGGTTTTCCCACTCTGGCATGAATTCTTAAGAGTTTTGAGAAGGCCAAGGAGCCAGGAATACAGTGTTGCTTCTCCCTGGACCCTGACCCCCCAGGGCAGCTGGGCCTGGATCTCACCACTGTGGCAGCCAGACACAAGGAGTGTTAAAGCCAGGGCCCAGAGTCCAAGGCAGGCCCATAAGAGAGCAGTGCGGTGGAAGGCACTTTCTCCCTCTAGAAGGGAGCCCCAATCGTGTGGTGGGGTGAGCTCCAAAGGGAGGGGGAGAGTCCAAAGGAAACCCTGTCCCTGGAGTTCATTCCCTTTCATTTCCACTGTGTCCTCTCAGCCTGCACTGAAAGTTCCCTGCAGCCCTGTTTTTCTCTAGGCCAACTTTGGAGAAAACCCAAATCTGTTTCTTTGCTCCCCTTAGCACAGGTTAAGATAGACTAAAGTTTCAAAATTTTACTCAATACTAAGGGAAAGCAAAAGAGACATGACCAAAGAAAACATTCCCCTTACCTCCTAAACATGTTTTTTAAGACAAGCTTTTAAAAAGCAGGAAGAAAAAATTAAACTGGAAAAAGCAGAGATTTTCTCAATTAGTAATCACAATAGTCCTGCCTGAGGCCGCCACCCAGAGGCCACACCTTTATGGATTACAGAGCTATTTCCATTTTTTTTCCTTCTTTCCTTTATTTCCCCCAGTTCTCTCCCCGTGGAGGGGCCAGGGTTGAAGCAAGAGAATTGTCAGTGGGGAGAGGGGGTGACTGCCCTCCTCCCTTGGGTGGCATGCCTCAGGTACCACTCAGAGTGTGGTTTAAATCAGCAGGAAGAGACCAGGTGAGCTCAGCTCTGGGGACAGGAGAAAGGCAGAGGCAGAAACCCCCTGGACCCTGCCAAAGTCCTTGAGGCTAAGCGTGCAAGTTCCTCGCGTTTGAACGCCTTTTTGTAAGCATTTCACAGGTAGGTTCAGATTGGAGTCTCATAATAAGAGACTCCTGAGATAAGCAGAAAAATTATGATTAATCACTAACCTTATTGTATAGATTAAAACACACGAACACTCTGATGCTTAGAGAGCTTGCACAGCTCGTAAACAGGGAGGCCAGCCCTAGAAGCCTGAACTTGGGAGCCCCAGGCTGGCCTTCCCCTTTTCCACTGTTCACCACTTCAGTGCAAGTAACACTGAGACATGGCAGCAGCTCCCACCTTCTATCCCTTATCCACATCCTTCCAGTCTCTGGGAAAGAGATGTTGCGATGCCACCTACAGTTGACACTTTCCAGAAATCCCTGTGGTCCCAAAGGAGCTCTCTGTCTCAGGTGGCTATGGTGAAACCTCCAAAAACCATTAGCGATTCTGAGATAGCTGCAATGTGTCCCCTGTCCCGACAGCCGACAATCGGAAAAAGCAGAGGGTCCCACACAGGGAGAGGAAGCGGCACGACTTCTCCTTGTTTAAGCTTTCTGACTCGGAGATGAGGGTGAAGATCTCTCCACAGCTTCTGCTGGCCACACACCGCTTCATGGCCACAGGTATGATGACTCTGCCCGCCCGCATCTCCACCGCAGGCAGGCAAGGCAGCTCTGGAGGGTGGGACCCAGGCACCAATCACTTTTAATACCTTACGACCTAATTCCAATTCTGGGACTGAGAACCACTGTTCCAGGAGAGGAGGTCTTCTTAGGTGGGGTGACAGGACTCCGCATACTGTCATTTTCAGCCTCAGGCCTGATCTAGGTGGGGAAGTGAGCATAATGCTACTCTGCTTTTCTCTCTTCTACTCGAAAAAAGGGCTGAGGAATTCACCGCTGCACTTTCCCTTCCTCCACCTGCTTCAAGGCAGGAGTTGGTGGGCCCCAGAGGGTTCATCAGGGAGGGACAGGCGATGTCCTGTGCAGCCACAAAGGCCCTGGGGCCCAGACCCTCCAGGGGCCATGTAGGCCTGTGAGCTACGAGTTCTTCAAATACAGATGTGGATTGTGAATACTGGAATCTTTAGAAAGAAAAAAAAAAAGAGAGGATCCAAAGATAAACTTCTTCTTGTGAAGAAAGTAAAGTTTGTCTTTGAACCGTCTAACATTCTCACCCATGCCTAATTAATGTGCTGACCTAGAATGATCACACACATTACTAAGTTCAATATGTAATTAATCTAACATGTATTTATTGAGTATATAATGAGTGCTAGTACTGTTCCAGTTACTAAAAAGTAGAAAATTTTAAATTGGAGCTTCTAAGAGAGTTATAGATGTAGAAAATAAACCTGATTACCAGGAGGTAAGAGTGGGGAGGGATAAATTGGAAGATTGAGATTGACACATACACACTACTATATATGAAATAGATAACTAATAAGGACCTGCTGTACAGCACAGGGAACTCTACTCAATACTCTGTAATGGCCTACATGGGAAAAGAATCCAAAACAGGGTAGATAGATGTATATGTATAACAGATTCGCTTTGCTGTACTGCAGAAAGTAACACAACATTGTAAATCAATATACTCCACTAAAAATTTTTTAAAAGTTCAGGTCATAAAGAAAATCAATAAATCAATAAATCAATACATAAATAAATTGGAGCTTCTTTAGGGTTTTCAACATGTTATCTAGTTCTAAATACAGATTTCTTTTAATTACTGGCTGTCTGATTTCCTAGAACAAAACAGCTGTATCTGTTAGTATAATGATATACCATATAGTGTAGTATAACATAGCAATATGAATAATAATATCTATTAATATGTAAATATGATAGTGATGCTTCTCATTATTGAGAACTTCCCACTTAAATAATTAACTGTTCCTGTTAACTTGAAATTTCATTTCATTCAACAGATACACGTCATACAAATAAGTCAGATTAAATTCTCTGTATTTCATTTGATTGTAGCATTAAAACTTTTTTAGCCATGTTTACATGGCTTACTTATCCACGTCCAACTCAGTAGTTGCGGCATGTGGGCTCAGTAGTTGTCGCACATGGGCTCTAGAGCACAGGCTCAGTAGTTGTGGCACACAGGCTTAGTTGCTCATGGCATGTGGTATCTTCCCGGACCAGGGCTCGAGCCCGTGTCCCCTTCATTGGCAGGCGGATTCTTAGCCACTGTGCCACTAGGGAAGTCCCTCTTGTTGCTTTTTGAACAACTTTATTGAGGTATAATTGATATACAAAAAAACGGTACATATTTAATGTATACAACTTGATGAGCTTGGAGATAAGCATACACCAGGAAACCATCATCGTAATCTATGCCATAAACATATCCATCACTTCCAAGAGCTTCCTCCCACCCTCTTTATTTGTTATTATTATTTTTGCA